TCATCATCTTGCAGTGACTTACCAGTCTCCTTGGGTTACCTCCTCAAAATGAAGTTGCCTCTTCTGCTGTTGGTGCTGCTGTTGTTCAGGATTCCTGGTGAGGACAGAGGGAAGAGAGAAAGGAGGATGGGTAGGGAGCATGAGCCCTGGGTCCCACTGCTGATCACATGTGTTCTGTTCATGTATGAGAAGACAGAGGGGTCTTATCATCTAGGATGGTGCCTGTGGGGTTTACATCTGTAAGAGTGAGATTTCAGGTTGGAGAGAACCTGGGCTACAATGAAGATTATGACATAGATGGAATGGGATGGTCTAAGTTATGCTTAGGCTTTCAATTAAGTTATCCTTATGGCTGTCAATTCAGTTAGCTTGTCAAAAAGAAAATTTTGGTGCATCAACAATTGTATGTAAAAATAAACATCTCAGTTGAAATGAATATCAAAAAAGAATACATAATGTTTGTTCATGAAGTATGTCCTTAAGTTTGTTCTTTTCTGTCTTTATTTCAGCTTCCAGAGGAGATGTTGTGATGACCCAAACTCCATCCTCCTTGCCTGTCAGTCTTGGAGATGAAGCCTCTATCTCTTGCAAGTCTAGTCAGAGCCTCAAAGATAGTGATGGAGACACCTATTTGGAATGGTACCTGCAGAAGCCAGGCAAGTCTCCACAGCTCCTTATCTATGAGATTTCCAACCGATTTTCTGGGGTCCCAGACAGGTTCAGTGGCAGTGGATCAAGTACAGAATTCACAATCTAGATCAGCAGAGTGGAGCCTGAGGATTTGGGAGTTTATTACTGCTTCCAAAGTTCACATCTTCCTCCCACAGTGATTCAAACCCTAACAAAAACACCCTTACTTGGCATGGTCCAGTTGCTAAATATGTTACTTATCTCTGAGACAAAGGGAGGTGCTGAGGAAGTCCAGATTATTGGTTGCAGCTGAGAGCCGTAGAGCATGAATGCCTAAGTTATTAACAGCTAACTAGCCATGCATTTCAGGCTTCATCAGGACAATAACAATGATATTGCATCTGCCTCAGGAGAATGGTGAACAGGTGCCCTCTCAGCAGGAGGAATGATGGGGTAACCTGAGTGAAAACCATTCTGGTCCAAGCATCCGTTTCTGCCTGTGTCACTAAAAATTAGCCAGTATGGAAGACAAGAAACTGAGACTTAAT